CTAACCTCATTGAAAGCTCTCATAATAGCTCACCCTTCTCTTACACAAGTCACACCTATTCTCCTCAGTAGCCCAGGTGAGAACTGATGGATGAGGGGAATAAGAAACGAGGACCCTTGCCTTCACTCCTCTGTTGTCGTCTCGCTACACCCCATTGTTATTTCCCCTGCCTGCCATTGTGTGGTCTGTAGTGGCCCTCTTGTGTGTGGTGAACGCGTGGTGGAGCTCTCAGGTGACGGCGGCCGCGAGCCTCTCCAGCTCTTTGGTTTAGACAACAATGGTTGCGGTTCCTCGGTGGTGACGTTCCACCAGCAGAGATGGATGGCGGCTATTGTTGGCTGTAAAGAGAGGAATGTAGGGAGAGAAGAGGGTGAAGATAGATTTCTTTACTCCATTTGTCATTATATGCGGAGGTTTGTTGGCATGCAGCAGGTTGCATCAGTATAAAGGGTTACGGTTGATTTAGGCTGTGAGATTAAGGCTTTGTTCATGACTTTAAGAATTCAAAACAACATAGCATTTTATTTCCTGTTATTCGTAACCTGAAATAGTTTGCCTGATGATCAAAGACTACTTTTAAATTCCCTGTACAGTTAAACAGATTATGCAGGAAATGTTAAGTACATGGCCTCTGTATCACTTAAAGTCGATCATGTGTTTGGTCTGTAAGTCCTCTGCTACTTTTAAAGTAGCATTACAGAAGGTGTAGGATTAACTCACTAAATCCTCCAATGTAGCCACGCATTCTTAGTAAGGGCAGGTTTAGTTTGTATTCCGACCCAGATTAGCATTTTGTTTGGTCTGCAGAATTTACCACATAATACACACATCAGCCGGGCCGACCATGTTCAAGTGCTAACAGCCTAAAGCTGTAACATGAGTCTGCTTTCAGAAGTCTGCTGTAATCTATTGCGATATTTAATGAATGATTAATGATATCGAACTCATTCATTCATTTTGCAATTAAATGCTCTCTGTCCCAGTGGTGCAGACAATATGCCAACTCCAGATTCAATATAAATAGTGCAAGAAGAAACAGAAATAGAAAATAATTCTGGAAGTTGAACGTGAGCAATGTGCAAGTAATTAAACACGTTTGTAGCTTAATAAAATGTGCATGAATTTGAACATACACTCGAGTTTTTGAATGTTTCAACATGACCAAATGTTCATACCACTAGGGGTTTCAACCCATAGAAACTGAGTTATTCAAATACAAAAAACATCACTAATAGAGACTTTTGCAGACTTCAATCTGTTGTCCAAATGCAATCCATTACTGATCCAAAACTGATCATTAGTTAACCCTGTCGATCTCCTCTTTCCTCAGAACGGCAGGGCAACCCGGGGATCACCTGTCTCACCGAGGCCTACGGATGAACGGGAACAGGGCTCCTTGACTTCCTGATGACAACAACCAACAGTAACCCCTCTGTCCACCTCCAACACCCAACAACATATTATTCGGCTGATATCTGCAACATGGAAGCTTTCCATGACTGCCTTCAACCCTTCCAAGTCTATGTGTCCAGCGACGGTGATGCACAGAAGATCAAACTATGTCCAAACCAGATGAGCCCCTGTCCCGACTGACCCCTGCTTCTTCTTCTTCTCTGGTGGGCACTAGACTTCGCCCCCTTGCCACTGCCCACAAGGTTCACATGGACTCCTCCATTACAAGTGATTGTGATTGCGATTGCGAGCATAGACGACACACGAGAGACACACTGTGTCCTTTGCCTGTACCTTTGGCGAATGCAGCACTTGGTGATATATTCTAGACTCTTTGGTAAACAAAAGAGAGATCCTGTGAAGAGCACTCCACTCTTTGGGACGATGGAATTGGACCAAGGAGAAGCCAATGTCTGTATCTGACAGGACACTAACAAAGCAAAAGAGGTGCCCTTTAAAAAATATAGTGGATTGAAACATGGAAGGAAGGAAAGCAAGAGAAAAGAAATAAAAAGTATAACTATATCAAACCCTAGTTTGGGAAGCGAGTGGAGAAAGAAAATATACTGTATACTGATGTAAAATTACGCTGGACTCTCACAAGAACTGGGAATTTAAGTATTGTAAATGCTATTGTATTGTTCTGCATATTATGTTGTTTCTAATAGATTTTTTTAAAAAGGATGTGAACTTTTTTCTCTTTTTTTCTGATTTCTTTCCACACTATGTGTGTGCCGTCTCCATCAAATTTGACCTCCTGCCCCCTCCCTTCATTCAATCACGATGCATTTTTAAAAGAAAAAGAAAGTGAATAAACGGACAATTCGATCAGTTTGTCATTTCTCGCAGGCCTTTATTTGGATGGAAAGAGAGTGATTCACTTGACTTGTTTACATCCAGTGCACACGTACGTCCATGCAGGAAGCAACTTACTTGTATTACTGTTGCTGTGTGACTCCTTGTGATTTTTTTCTTTACATATTCATATCATTGGATTATATGTTCTTCTGCTGGTAGGTTTTAATTGGCATACACATTTACTGACCATTTGAGGACATACACCCGACAATAACTCATTAGATTAACTCCAAAAACAATGACATCAGGCTAAACAGAGTTTCTGAGAAGCTAACATTTTGGATTAACAAGGTTTTTAATTATACTGCTATTGTCCAATTTATCCATATAAATAATGTATGTGTCGACATGGTTTACATCATGACAGGCTAACATGATCACGAGCTTCAACTGATGCTCATAAACAAGCTACAAAAGTAACAGCGGATGGGAAACTACAAGTGTGTGTCCTGCAAACACATTGTTTCCTGTTTTTCTCCATGTGTGTCTGTGATTGAGCGACACTGGACGTCCATTCCAGTGTCCTATTGATGTGTTTATGTCACAAGGCCGTGCACTCGCATGGCCAATGGATTCCCCCCGCTGCCTGATAACAGGGAGAGGCGGAGGCTATGGGAAAACACCTTTTCCACCACAGCCCATTCTTTTTTGATTAAACCAGCTGATGTTATGCTGATCAACAGACAGGAGAGAATGTAAAAGTCACTGTGTGTGTGTGTGTGTGTGTGTGTGTGTGTGTGTGTGTGTGTGTGTGTGTGTGTGTGTGTGTGTGTGTGTGTGTGTGTGTGGTGTGTGTGTGTGTGTGTGTGTGTGTGTGTGTGTGTGTGTGTGTGTGTGTGTGTGTGTGTGTGTGTGTGTGTGTGTGTGTGTGTGTGTGTGTGGGTGTGGGTGTGGGTGTGGGTGTGTGTGTGTGTGTGAGTGAGGGGGAACGTGTGTGTGCGTTATCAATGCATCCATTATCCATTGCTTCAAACATGTATTACGCACATCTTTAAGATTCCTTTGAAGACAAGTCATGTTTCTTATGCTTTTACTTTGAAGGGTATATATGTACATCTGTGTTGTAAATAAATACTTTTTGTTCAAATAACAGAACTCATAACTAGTCTCACATTATATTCCTACAAGCAGAAATATAATAAAATACTAGTTTTAAAAAAGTGGCAATGTCCCTTGAAAGAAAGCAGAGGTCCATGTATTCTTAAAGAAACATGCACTCAGGTTCTCCCATTGCATTTTCTCACTCACGGAATGAGGGGCTCGGCGAGAAAGCGAATTATCCTTCATTTAGCATTTAAATTCATTTAGGTAAAATTGCTACAAACATGTAAATGGGAAGATTAGTTCTCCCTCACGCCTTGTTGCCCGCAGTCAAAGGGCTCCGCTTGAACCCAGCGCTGTGCAGCCGATGTTGTCCCCGGGATTCAGTGCACCTCATGAGGCAGAGCCGACTGAGGAGGCGAGGGGAGAAGAGCCGAGCGACTTTTGTCTAATTGATACATTTCGGAGAGCAGCCCTGAATCCCAAAGTCTTGTTTTTTTCCGACCATCGAACAAGAGAGAGTCTGTTTTATCCATAACAATATGCGCGTGTAAATCAATACTCTCCCATTCTCCCTCTGTATCTCTCCTCCGCGCAACTATTGTGTTTTTACTGCCTTTGCCGAAGTGAATGCTATTTACACTAAAGAAGAAGAAGGAAAAAAGACACGCTCTTAAAAAACCCAGGCGACGTTTTAATTGCTTCGCCTCTCCACCAAGGCTGGAAAATCCGAGGCTGTGAAATGTGAATTCCTGAGCCTGTGGCCGCTGGGAGCTGTGGAGACAGAGGAGAAAGCCCATGCTTGACTGCCCTCTTTAGGGAGGCCTGGTAACTGTCCGGGGCAGGGACGTTTGGAGATGGCGCACAGCACCACCTCTCCTTTTACGCACGGACGTAAACCACAAAAAAGCGCTTGTTGAAGTTTGATAAAAGTGGAAAAGCTGAAAAGAGATACAAAGGAAGTGTAGCTGCAACAAAATAGTGTACTGATGACAATATACATTCAAAAGAAAAGTATTGTATATATATGTTTTGTTTTATATTTCAGACACAAAGTGCCAGTATGACGAATGATTGTCACTGTTTATTTATTTATTTCCGTTTTAACAAATGCCGATTTCTTAAGAGACAAAACCAATAATTTGTGTCCACTAATAAAAAGGACACATTTCCTGAAATATCTTGATTCGTCTTATTCCATTAATAATTTTAACGGTTTTGAAGGATACATATTATTTAAGACTCAACTCGTTAAATAATAACAATAATAATAATTATAGACATGTTTTAATCTACAAGGACGTCCTTGTATGTGTATTTCTGCTAATTGTCTTTATTTGTTATCAGATGCAGATGATTTAGAATCTTCGGGAACATTTTGGCCACAGCTGAGCTGACCTATATTTCTGCTGAGATGTGAAAGTTAGTTGCCTATTGACCGTTTCCTTCTTCCACCCTTTACAATTATTTTGTATCCATAAAAAGTTCGACTTGTGCTAATTTTCAAAAACTGAGAGTCCTAACGTAACTTGAAGTTAATGATGATGGTTGGCCACTTGGCCTCCTCCCCTCCGAGTCTCACACACACACTGACCGCGGAGTGAACTGTCAGTAATGAATGGAGCAGAAATGTGTTCCAGAGCAGCGGAGGTGCCCGGACAGGCCTGTCTTCCTCCCACAACAACGCACACATTTATGCGCCTTTATGTTTCAAACAGGGACCTCAGACAAGTAACCGCGCGCCTCTTGGTCTCTGTTACAGCACGAGCCATGACAAAGCTCGGCGGGAATAATGTGTGCAGGTTTGTTCATTAAAATCACCGGTTGCTGAACGCCGAGGCCTGCTTCTCAAACCTTTCCTCAGTGTGTGCTGAGGGCAAGTGAAATTGTATTTTATTTCATGCTACATTTTAGACGTATGCAGTGCACTTTACGCCAAATTGTTGTGTCTTTTATAATTGTAGTCAGTTCTCCATTTAGATGTTTTATTTTAAAAGAAAAGCTGCAACAGAAGGTTATGTTGTGGAGAAAAACACGGACAGGACGTGGGGTGCAGACAAACTGGATGTATTTAATACATACACAGCACAGGTCAACATTACAAATCCTGACTGTGTTCTGGTCTTCATTGCCCTTTTTGCTTTTTCATTTTGTTTAAATTAAATTAAAATGCAATGTATGCCATCATTACAAAAGACTAAAACAGGTTGAACACAAATCGAAGCTCTCTCTATATATAGTTTATTTGTTTCCTTTATTTTCCTTTCCAGAGAGCCAGGAGTTAAATATCCCCATGTGGGCTCCATTACCTCCAGCCTCCATAGCTAGGATCCAACCCGAGGGGGAAATAGAGAAGATATTTCACGCAGCAAAACAATACTCACCCAATCAATTCCCTACATCCTCCAAATCGAAAATCATTACGCAGGAAATACACATATGGCTTATATGACATGCCAATATCTGAGCCACTTTATGAAATCGATATAGACACATACAGAAATTAAACAGAAGCCTCCAAACGCCTCGCAACGACAAACTTTCCAAACCCCCCCCCCCCCCAAAAAAACTCCACCTTCAAAAGGTCGCGCAGCAGCTGGTTTGGAAACAAAAGGAGGAGGAAAGAAAGGAGGGAGAGGTGTTGGAGGGGAGAAAGAGAAGAGAGGAGGACTGTTGCGCCATTTTGGATGTCATCTGTCTCCTTGGCGACGGGGCCCTCAAAAGCCCCTTGGGCGCGCGGATTGTTTGAGAGGAGCCCGCTATTTTCTGCAGCATCATTTATCACTGTCACCACATAATGATTCCCCTTGCAGCTCCTTATTGATGTTTGTAATTGCATTATCTCATAAGGGTGGATGATCAATGGAGCCGAGAGGAGCATGGAGGGGTCAGGAGATGCCGGATTGCTGTTTGTCCATTTAATGCAACCAGGCTCTCATTATCTGCAGCCTCTCTAAGTAACGTTTGCTCTGCTCGCTTCTGAGGTTTCAAAGAGAGGAGAGAGGAAAAGGAGAGCTTCATTTGTTTAACCCCAAGCCACTGCGGATACAAATTAGAGATGCAAAGGAGAGAGAGGAGAGTGAAAGTAACGTGATTAAGTGTTATGCTATTAGTTCCATTAAGTCTGAGCAACGAGATTCTGAATTAAAGTGCACAGCTTTAGGCTCATGGGCATCCGTCTTGTGGTGGTCATATAACTTGAGATGATTAAACATATCTATAACAATATGTCGTCGTGATTAAAGCAGGATGCAGCGTCATTTATGTGTACTAGTGCAACTTGTCTTCAATTTGACCATGTTGTTCAAACCTTGTTGCATGTTCATAGAGATTTTTTTCACAGCTGACCTATATTTCTGAAGAAAATTGTAAATGAGTTGCCTTTTTAGTTGCTAAACTCCTGAGCTTGCACTATTTTGTATTGTTTTGTTGTTGTGTTTTTTGTATGTAGGCCTATTATATATTTATATTACACTGTTTAAGGAACCTGTGACCCAAGTTGTTCATGGCACAGCTACACTAGCTGCGCATGACATAACAACCTTTGAAATTGAAACTGTTTCTGTCTTCTACATTTTAAAATGAGTTGTTATCCAAGTTTGACTTGTTGAGTGCACAGCTTTAGACTCTTGTGCATCCGTCTTGTGTTGGAAATATAACTTGAAATTATTAAATATAGCCTATCTATAATAATATTCCCTCGTGATCAAAGCATTCAAATTGACCCGCATGTGGAGAGAACGAGATAAAACGAGATTTGGCGAGAAAAATATTACAAACAATAAGCTTTGTATTTATTTTTGTACTCTAGCCATAGCAACAATGGTAAGTTTGGGATAATAACGTTTTGGGGTTTTGAGAAGTGGATCATCAGAGCCAGTCGATGCTTGGGCTCGTGTTGGGGGATGAAGTCATGAGATCCAGTTTCAGAGGCCGACTGACTGAGGCCCCCGCGCCCAGCAACACGCGATACTCTCCCTCCCCTGCAAACGAGCACATACCGTAATTACTGTGACGTGAGTGACTTCAAGTGACACGCACGCACACGCAGACAAACACACACACACACGCAAAAAAAACCACACATTTTTATCTCTAAAAAAGGAAACACGATGGCGTCATTTTGCATAAACAACCAATTCAATTTAAATATAAAAAATATATATTTGAAAACTATTTCATAGCAAATAATATAACAATCTTAACGACTTATTGACTTACTTCTTTACAATAAAAAGGGATCAAGTTTTTAGAAAGAAATCGTACAGAAAGTGGGAAAGCAACATTTTTGCCCGTTACAATTGAGGCTGTCTCTTTAGTGATTTCCAGTTTTTCCTTCTTAATCATGGATTAAAATGTATTTTTGCTACCTTGGAATATGTCTGACACTTCTTTAGAACACACAAAATGCTCTGTAATACACCTAAAAAATACATTTTTGGTGCAGTGTAAACCGGCTGCTGTGTGACGTCCTGCAATCCTGCAGTAAACGCACTGCTGTGGTGCACAATGGGGGCCTGTCAGCAGGTATGAGTTTGGATATGAGGGCCAGGAATTGGAGACGTGTACTAGTTTCAACCGGACACAGTCAGAGCCGGTGAGAGAGAGCCTGGCCCAGAGAGAGTCCGGCAGGTAACAGGTAAACTCCTCTGAGGCTAGTTTGTGCAGAGATTCACAGCTCATTCAGAGCAATGATCCTGAGCTCGGGATGTTTTGTGGGCGCGTGGTGTGTTCCTCCACTCTCCAGCCCATGACCAGAGACATCCGGTTGCTTGGGATAACATATTTTTGGCCTCGGTGCTTTAATTTCTGGTTGCTCCTGCTGCGGGGAGGGACACGCCGCTGGCAGCGCACCTTTCATGGGGAGAGAAGCAAACCGCGGCCGGTTCATCATAACCAGAGATGCAGAGAGATGTTTCTGTCAGCACCTTCCTGAATATCCGCCTCTCTCCCTCCCTCCCTCTCTTTCTTTACCTCTGTGGAAGGTCACCTTGGCAGCGCAGGGCAGGAGGGCCAGAGGAGCAGGAAGGGGGGGCTCAGCTCACCTGGTG